AGCGCCGTCTTCGGGCCGGCCTCGCACCCCGAGGGCCGCCAGGGAGCATCGCCGCGCCCAGCGCCAGCAGCGGCCATGCGGAGAGATCGGGCGCGGGCGAGCCCACGAGGCGGAGTGCCCTCGCCTAGTGGGTCCTCCTCCCCCTCCCCCTCCTCCTCCTCCTCCTCCTCCCCTCCTCCTCCGTCCTCCCCCCCTCCGCCCTCCTCCTCCTCCTCTCCCCCTCGCCCCATCCTCTCCTCCTCCTCCTCCTCCTCCTTCCTCCTCCTCCTCCTCCTCCTCCTCCTCCTCCTCCTCCTCCTCGCCGGCAGGGCCGTTTTTCACCGTTTCCGAAAATTTGCACGAACGAGATGGGCACGGACCTCCTCCTCCTCCTCCTCCTCCTCCTCGCCGGCAGGGCCGTTTTTCACCGTTTCCGAAAATTTGCACGAACGAGATGGGCACGGAAAGAATGGGTACAATGCTCAACAGCAGTTCTTGCTCATGTTGAGCAGGGCTCGCTGTCCACGCCGCCGGGGCCTGTGTCCATTTGAGACAGAAGACCGCCTGCCCAACAGCGGCCGCTGTTGGTTTGGGACAGCATTTACACTTGGGCATTGTACCCATTCTTTCCGTACCCATTTCGGGCGTCCAAAGAAAAAGTGCCCCTTGAAAATGGAAGCGGCCAAAAAACGGTGACCGGAAACGGCAATAAAACAACGGCTCCAGGACTGGAGCCGGAGCGGGAGCCCGTGAAAGAGCGGCGACGGAACCGGTAAAACAACGGCGTCGGAACCGGCAAAAAAACGGCAAAACGGAACCGGTAAGAAAACGGCCCTGTCGTTTCCAGGGCCCGCTAGGGCCCAGACCTACGGGGGTTCACGTTCTGCAGGTCTCACGACGTCAGCGCTTCGGGCCCCATCCCTGTTTTTGTTACGCCTCGGCAGTGACTGCAGCAGGCGCCGCCGACCGAGACGCAGTTCAACACCCAGAGGAACTGGTGCTGGCACTGGATGAAGCACAAGGGCTGCAAGGACGTCTATCATTCGTATTATTATTATTAATAATATTATTATTGTCATTATTATTATTATGATTATGATTATTATTATTATTATTCGTCTTGCTACTATTGCTTCTAATTTTTATCATTATTATGATTATTGTATTCGTTGTTATCAGTATCATCATTATTACTTTATCATTGTTATTGTTATTGATATTATTGGTATCCGTGAGTGCTTCGCCCCGTGCCGCCAGCCCCCCCTCTCTTAGAATGGGACCTGCCAGAGCTGTGTTGGGATGTTGGGATGCCTAGACGCTGACGTGAAGCAATGTCGGGACTTCACGCGAGGGTCCATGATTGATTGCACGGCTTGCATTGCAAACCTGACGAACTGGCCTCGGGGACGCAAACATTGCTTAACTGACCCGGGCTTATGTCCCATATCCAGAGGATGGGGTTCTTGTTATTCTTTGACCTCGCCGGACCTCTACACTTCCCTTCCCTCTCTGTACGAGACGATAGTATGATGTGAGTGTGATGGTGGTGGTGAATGATGGATGGGTATGATGATGATGATGATGATGATGATGATGATGATAATGATGATGATGATGATGATCATGATGATGATGATAATGATGATGATGATGATGATGATGATGATGATGATGATGATGACGATGACGATGACGATGACGATGACGACGACGACGATGACGATGACGATGACGATGACGATGACGATGACGATGACGATGAGCAGATGATGAGGATGTCTCGAGTGGCTTGCTGGTTTTAGCACTCCTAAGGGTGGGCGCCAGGGGGTGTTGCACGGCCTCCGTCCGCGCCAAGATGGCGGGGATGCCTCGAGCGGTCTGCCTGCTTGCATGCCCAACATCCTTCGCTTTCGGAGCAGAGTTGGAGGATGTCTCGAGCGAGGCGCTCAGTTTCGCCCCCCAGGGGGGCCAGATTTTGAGGATGTCTCGATCGGTTTGCCTGCTTTGGTGGCCAGACTCGTGGGCACAGGTTCTCCCCAGGATGCCACAGGAGTCTCCAGCAGGCTCCAGGAGGCCCCAGGAGGCCGCATGAGGTCCCGGGAGGCATCGGGAGGCCACAGGAAGACGCAAGAGGCCACAGGATGTCTCAAGAGGCTCCAGGATGCCCCAGGAGGGTCCAGGAGGCCTCAGGAAGCAACAGGAGGCCTCGAGAGGCCCCAGGAGCAGGAGGCCTCAGAAGGCAACAGGAGTGGCTCCAATCCCATGTGTTTTACGTATGCTCCTATATATTGGGCCTCACCTGGAGCGAATCCTTGATGTTATACATATGTTTCTATCTATTGTCCTTCTCCTGTGTATACAATCCTCATGTTTTAACGTATGTTCCTGAAGAGTGGGCCTCCCCTGGGGCACGAGTCCTTGGTGTGTTCTTATAGATTGCCCTTCTCCTGTGGCTCCAATCCCAAGACCCAATGCTTGGGGGGCTGCAAGCCTCCTGGCAAACACGGGATAGCTCTGTTTCCCGAGCTCGACCTCCAGCGGCGCGCGCGGCTCCCCTCGTTTTGGCACTTATTACACTGTGTGTGTCTCGGCCATGGCACCCCAGTGGCAGTGCGTTTGTGGAGAGTACCACGCCGCCGACCGCACTCGGTGCTCGAAGGCGGGGTGCGGAGGCATGCGACCTCGCTTCCCTCGCGGGGCAGGGCAGCCCTGGCACCAGCCGTGGCAGCTTCGTCAGCCTCCGTCTCGGGGCAAGTGGGCCGACTCGCCGCCGAGCAACCAGTGGGGGCACAACGGCAAGCTCTTCAAGGGCAAGAGTGCTGGTGGAGACAAGAGTTCCTCTGGCACCACTCTCAGTGCGGAGGAGGTCAAGGTCTGGGCCACCTTCACGCAGGAGACGTGGGACGCGACGAAGCACACCCTCACGCAGTCCTCGCGGGGTAAGGTGGATGCTGCTCGCCGTGCCCATGCTCTCGGCCTGGTTGGGAAGTCGGCGCCCCAGAAGGTGGACGGGCTGGCTCGGCAGCTTGCAGACGCTCAAGATCGGCTTAAGCGTGAAACTGAGGTGGCTCGCAAGGCGCTGGAGCAGGTGCACGCCTCCAAGGAGGTCATCGCGCAGCTGCAGCAAGAGCTCGCGGAGGCCAAGCGTGAGGCAGCCGCACTCTACGGTGGAGGCATCAGCCCTGATGCAATCAAGGAGAAGCTCGGCTCGCTCAACACCGACGGGGTCTCAGGCCAGGACCTCCTCGAGCAGCTGTCCAAGATGGTCAACGAGCTCGCTGAGGAGGCGAAGGCAGCCCGCCCGCAGGGTGGGGCGCCCGCTGCTGCAGGTGGAGCAGCGCCCGTTCCCGAGCCAGCTGCAGCCCAGCCTGGCGGAGGAGAGGCCGCAGGGACGCCAGCAGCGGGGGCGACGCCTGCCGAGAGCGGCGTCGACTTCGACGACTTCCTGGGCGAAGAAGATCCTGGGGGGCTTCTTGGCGGCTGCGGCGACGACGACGAGCAGCGCAAGAGGATCCGTGATGCCCTGGAGGTCCTGCGTTCTGTCAAGAAGCCGCGGACCTCAGGGTAGCTACCCTAGCGGGCGATGGTGGACAGCTCTCTCCATCAACGCCAACGCTTATAGCAGGTTCGAGAGCACCCTCGGCTACGAGAGTCTCAGGAGCTGCGACCTCATCGCAGTCCAGGAGACGCACCTGTCTCAGGAGAGGTGCTACGAGGTCACCGACAAGCTGCAGAGGCTGGGATGGCATGCGGTGGCCATTCCTGCCACCGACGTCTTTGCGGGACACGCAGGGCACGGTGGTCTCCTGCAGTTGGCTCCGAGGTCTTCGGGCCTTGGTGAGTCCGAGGCGGGTCAGCCTACGGTGCTCACGCCAGGTCGCGCGGCAGTCGCGCATGTGGCAGGCCCCTTTTCCTGGGGGACTGGCATGGATCAACGTCTACTTGAAGGTTGGCGAAGGCCTCTCAGCCTACAACCTCGGCATCCTCGACGGCATCGCGATGGCGATTCGAGCCATCGGCAAGCCGTTCGTGATCGCGGGGGACTTCAATATGGAGCCCCACGAGTTGCAGTGCTCAGGCTTCCTTGAGCGCGTCGGAGGCAGAGTGGTCTCACCAACGGACGGCACCATAAGGCCGTCTGGCAGAGTGATTGACTATTTCGTCATCTCTCACGTGATCTCCGAAGCACATGCAGAGATCAAGCTTGGATGGGATATTGCGCCCCACTTCCCTGTAGAGCTCAAGTGCAACGCCTGCTCGGTCAACAGGTACATGCAGGTCATGAAGGTGCCCAAGAAGTTCCCACACCCTCTACCCAAGGCGTGCTGCACCGAGGACCACTCCCAGAGGTGGGCGGAGGCGCGCGGCCGTATGGCGGCGTCATCCTCGCTGGACGGCATGTGGCAGATCTTCATCCACTGCGCGGAGCGGTACTTGCTGGATGCCATTGGCCTCAAGCACGCGTACTACGAGTTCGCTGGACGAGAGCGGCGCCCATGGCTGGCATTGGTCAAAGTGCTGAAACCAACGGCGCCCAGGCTGCCGAGGGTGGCCATCACCACATCGTGGTGCAAGAGCGTGGCCATCGCGCTCAAGGATGCTGCTCAGACTGACCTCGAGTTGAAGAGGCACACGGCGCTCAAGGCGCTCGATCGTTTGTGCAGTGCGCAGCCTGACTTCGAGTCCGACACCAGGCAGGAGACGACGCAGGCCCACATCACCTTGCTGGGCTTTGCGCAGGCGGCGCAGTCCATGGATCTACCCCAGCTGCAGGTAGCGAGCTTCATCGCCGCCACCATGGCGGACAAGCTGGTGCAGCGGGATGTGGACAAGGCGAAGGCCTGCTTCGCAGACTGGGTCGCCGAGAACCACGCTCGAGGTACGGGGGCCCTCCACTCCTGGACCAAACCTCCGCAGGGCTGGCAAGCCAGGATCTCTGGTGCCCCAGGGATCGAGCCTCGTACGCTTTCTCAGACGGTCCAAGCCCTGGTGAAGGAGTGGTCAGGGTACTGGGGAGTAGGGGCCCCCACGCCGCTGGGGAGCGAGCTCGCATCGGAGCCGCTCGAGTGGCCAGACGATCTCGGCGAGCGCCCTGCCCGACCGACGGTGAGCGAGATCAGGGAGGTCATCGCCACTTTCAGGGACTCCAGCGGTTCATCGTTCGACGCGCTGCGCCCGCACGAGCTGGGCGTGCTCGACGACGCTGGGATCGAGGCGCTCATCGACTTGCTGGTCGCCATCGAGCTGCAGTGCGACTGGCCCGCGTTCATCACCAAGATGGCCTTCATCCCCAAGTCGGACGGGGGGCTCCGCCCAATCGCGCTACTGGGGGCGGCGGTACGCATACACGGCAGGCTCCGCAGGCGCATCGCGAAGGATTGGGAGGCGGCGCACGACAGAGACTACTGGTGGGCCAGCTCAGGCAAGAGCTGCGACAGGGCTGTGTGGCAGCAGCAGGCGCGGGCAGAATGGGTCCAGATGATGGGCGAGCTGAACAGAGGTCAGGACTGGGCCTCGGCGTCAATCATGATGGACCTGTGGAAGGCCTTCGAGCAGATCTTGCACGGCAACCTGCAGAAGGCGTGCATGCAGCACGATTTCCCGCTGTGGCTGGCCAAGCTGCAGATCTCCCTCTATCGACTCCCCAGGGTCATCAGCCTGGAGACGTGCTGCTCTGATGAGCTTGTGGTTACGCAGACGGTGTTGGCTGGGATGCCTTCGCCACCACGTTCATGAAGGTCATGCTACTGACGCCGCTCGACGAGATGAAGGCGGCCTGCCCCGCGGTGGTACCTGCTGTCGTGGTCGACGACGTGGTGCTGCAGCGCTGGGGTGGCCTGAAGCGGGTAGCCAAGGACCTCACCATGGCCGCTAAGGCAGTGGCGAAGGGGTTGGCGAAGGTTCACCTGTCCATTGCCGCCAAGAAGTCGCGCGTGCTGGCCAGCAGCAGAGGCCTTAGGGCCACTCTCCAGAGGCACCTGGGCTCGACCACGGGGGCCATCGGAGTCAGGGAAGTGCGCAACCTCGGCAT